GACAATTGGTGGGTGGCAATTGGTTGATGACAATTGGTTGATGACAAGTGGTTGGTGACAATTGGTTGGTAGCAATTGGTTGGTGACAATTGGTTGGTGACAATTGGTTGGTAGCAATTGGTTGGTAGCAATGGGTGGGTGGCAATTGGCTGGTGACAATTGGTGGGTGGCAATTGGTTGATGACAACTGGTTGGTGACAATTGGGGTGGGTGGCAATGGTGGCAATTGGTTGGTGACTATTGGTCGGTGGCAAGTGGTTGGTGGCAATTGGTTGGTGAAAATTGGTTGGTGGCAATTAGTTTTAAGAGAGTACCACAGCCACAGACTGAAGGTGGCAAAAGTAGTTTTGTTTCATTTTCTCTCTAGATAGGTCATGGTGTTTTCTTTCAATATGTATTCATTGTGTTTTTTGTTTTCATTTTATCTTCCTTTGGATCATGGTGTTTCCTTTCAATATGTTTTTCTACTTTTTCTGTTTTCATTTTCTCTTCCTTTGGGTCATGGTGTTTTCATTCAATATTTTTTGATTGGTTTGTCCATCTATACCCGATCTCCTCACTTGTTTCTAAGACAGGGACAAGAGGAGGACAAGACTGGGACACAGAGCCCAGCCACAGAGCCCAGCCACAGAGTTCAGGGGCGCTGCCAAGTCAAGGCCAGTGAGTGTGGCCAGCCCTTTTCTTTTCTAAGATAGAACCCCAACAGTAAACTGTTTGGGGAACGATCCAGAAAATGAAGAATCCTCGAGGAATCATCATTTCTTCGTGGATAAAGACATTCACGAAAAAAGGTGGAAGACACAAGGAAATGAAGAACAAATGAAGAATTCTCGAGAAATCATCATGTTTCCTCATTTTTGGTATTCATGTTGTCCTTCATTTGTTTCTTCATTTTCTTATCATTTGCCTTAGTCTGCATCGTTTATGTCTTCATCTATTTTTGGTTGCCATTTGCTATCTTCATGTTGCTTTCTGTCTCTGCTAATGTCCAGGGATAATTATCACTCAATCTATGCCGAAAATCACACAACCACATCAAGGCACAATTTAAGAAATGTCCATGACAACCATCCCTAAACATGAGGAGCAAACACCAGCAATAAACACACCTAGTATGAACCCATTTTTGGTAAACAATGGACACACCCAAAACCAACTAACACAAAATGATGAGAATAACCATGCCTGAAATGAACAAAAAATGAAGGCCTGAAAGCCAAATGATAAAAACATGCTAGCAACAACCATACCAATAACCATACCCAAATGAAAGGAAAATGAAAACAACACTAAATCGCTCATTTCCAATGTGTGGCTGGCTGGGGATTCCTTAAAATTAGTTGGTGGCGCTTGGTGGGTGGCAGCCCTGGAGTGCATCAAGTGCTGTGCCTGCCACGCAGATCACAGGACCCACCACTCACCACGCAAATCGCAGCCGCGCAGTCACGCCAGGGCGTACATCCGAACCCTTTGAGTCGTGCGCGGAGACCCAACCGCGCCAGGGCGTACACCTGACCCCCTGGAGTGCACCAAGTGCTGCGCCTGCCACGCAAATCACAGCGGCGCAGTGCGGAGACCCAACCGCGCCAGGGCGTACATCCGACCCCCTGGAATGCACCAAGTGCTGCGCCTGCCGCGCAAATCACAGCGGCGCAGCGGCGGAGACCAAACCGCGCCAGGGCTGACATCCGACCCCCTGGAGTGTGCCAAGTGCTGCGCCTGCCACGCAAATGGCGCAGCGGCGGAGGCCAACCGCGCCAGGGCGTACATCCGACCCTCTGGAGCGCACCAAGGTTGGTGGCAATTGGTTGGTATAGCAGTTTGTTGATGACAATTAGTTGGTGACAATTGGTTGGTAGCAATTGCTGGTTGGTTTGCAATTGGTAGGTGGCAATTGGATGGTGACAGTTGGTGGGTGACAATTGGTTGGTGGCAGTTTTTTTGATGACAAATGGTTGGTGACAATTGGTTGGCAGCAATTGGTGGGTGGCAATTGATTGGTGACAATTGGTTGGTGACAATTGGTGGGTGACAATTGGTTGATGGCAATTGGTTGACACAATTGGTTGGTGACAATTAATTAAATTAATTGGTGGCAATTGGTTGGTGACAATTGGTGTGTGGTTTGGTTGGTGGCAAGTGGGAGGCGGAGGAGGAGGAGGAGAGGAGGAAGGAGGAGCGGTTACCACACTAAAAACCAAAATCCCACACGTCAATGTGGGAAAATTACAACTTGTGGCTCCGAGGTGACGGCTTGTAGGCTGTCTTTGTGCCGTAGGAAAGGCCTGGCCGTGGCTATGGTCTTCAGAAGAGTCGTCGAGGAGTGGGTGCTCGCTCAACCGAGGATCAGAGCGCTGATCATTTCCTTCATCTCCATTTCCTCGCCCATGGTGTCCGTGATGACTCTCACAAGCGTGCAAGTGGCAAATTGCACAGGATTTGGCGCGTTTCTGATTCAATTTGAGGTATTGATAGTTGAGCGCATCCGTGTTGCAGTGTTTAGCATGGTGATCCCCACAAAGACTGCAACATTGGCACAAAGCTGACCAGCTCTTTAGCATGTGCAGGTGGCATTGCGGAGTGCGCGGAGAGATGATTGCAGAAGCTGCATATCTGTCCAAGCCTGCGTGTGAGAGACTTGTAGCCCATCAAGTGGTCGAACGTACCTTCATTAAGGCCAGAGAGGATGACTGGATGACGTCCATTCCCTGTAGTTGGGGTCAATCTCCTTTTGTTTATTTTTGTTTCCAATCACCAAGTCGCTCTCCTAATCATCATATTTCATCTCCATCATGACACCATTTCCTCACCTGCTGTGCTTTCGGGCCCCTCGTCTAGTTTTCTTTCTTCTTTCTTGCTTAGACTTTCATATAGGTCACCCTTTTTTCTGGTTTGCGCAGCTTTGTAGTGATATTTATGCCTGATGTGTGTCAAACGACCTGGTTGTCACCAGTGGAGCAAGCTGGTCTCAGCGGCCACGTTGCAATTTGAGGTGGCCAAGCCAAGAGCGCTGGGAGAGGTGGAGCTTTATACGTATGGGCCATCAGACAGAAACTTGTCAGAAACCATAGGTACCAGAACTTGTGAGAAGTTCACGCTGTAATGGTCTCACCAGCTGGATGATGCTGGTGGAGATCGAAGTGCCCGGAGAGTCCTGCTGCAGCTGCCCCTGCAGGGTCCACATGTAGCGTTGGAAGCGCTGGTCAAGATGATGTCCAGAAGGCCACCCTGATTGGGGCCCCTTGATTGGCCAAAGCCTGTTGGAGCGCATTCGGTACGTGTAGAGCAGGAGTTTCAGACTGCGTGGTTTCATTTTCCTTTGCTTGGCCTGTGGAGGTCTCACAGTTCCTTCATGTCACCAAGGGGTAGCTGCTGGATGCCCTCAGGCACACTTGTTTGCTTGAAGCCAGCTCTGCGGCGTTTAGCAAGGCAAACCAGACAGCAAATCCCGCCCAATTGGTCATTGAAATCGTTAGGCCTGGCGATCTTCGCGATCGCTTTCAGCGCTTAAGGCAGTCTCCACAGTCACCAAGCAGCTAGATGAGAAGAATATCCGCGGTGAAGCATACCCTTGGACCGACGATCTTCATGAGGTCGCCTTGAGCGGATTGCCCATCACCAATGCGTGTCTGTAAATCCCTCATCTCGGCCATGGCCTGATATTGTGTTTTTTCATTTCATCTAGCCTCGTCTGGAGCTGTGTCTCTTGATGGCGAAGTTGTCCAACTCACCCATGGTCAACTTGCCAGCGATGTGGTGGGTTCTGGTACTGTGAGCTGTTCTTGGACTTGAGTGGGTCATGAGTTTATGTGTCTTGAGCACATCTGTCAAGCCCAATTCAGCAGCTGTTGGCTGAGGGTTGACCCCCAGATCTTTCAACTTTTGTTGGGCTCACCGGGATATGGGGCTAAGTGTTTCCGCAAGATCTCAGAGGTGGGTTGGATCTTGGACCTCTTCAATGGCCTTAGCTTGGCCCCGTGAAATGAGGCCCGTGGGGTCCGTGGGCCGTGGTGTCGTGGGTCGGGCCCGTGAAATGTGGGCCCGTGGGGCCCCAGCTGGAAGATATAGGTTTTGAGAAAGCTAGGAAGAACAGGTGATGGTCTCTAGTTTCCTTTGCCGGACCCGAACAAAGTAACAGGTTCCAGGTTTGAGCGGGAAGCGCGCGTGAATGCACGTGCCAGCTTCGATGGGAGTAGCCACCCAAGAAAGGTATGTCAGTATTGCTGCGCGCACCAAAGCACATATCAGCCTCAATGTCGCAATACACGCCGGAACTTATGCCGCGAACACAAACAGAAAAACGAACACAGAACAATTCGAACCACGGCCCCAAAAAGCATACAAGGAGAACACAGCTTTTACCATCATAGCCACGGCAATCTCACGCAACTTCCCACCTGCATAGCAACGCGCAATGACAGAATCACCAGCGCCCGCGGCTTTTTAGGAGCACGGACACTAGAATCCACGGAAAAGACAGAAGGAGAAGACAACTATAACAACCGTAGCCATGGCAGTGCCATGCAACTTCCCATCATCGCAACACAATCGCCTGCGACTATTTCAAAACACGGACAAAAGAAAAACGGGAACCAAAGCAACGAAAATACATACGAGGAGAAGACAACTATAACAGTCGCAGCCAGCAACGCCTCCGCGGAGCCTTTGCTATGTGTATATATATATATGACAACACGGACACCATACCTGTGGCCCACGGATCCCGTGGAGCCCGCGCGTGGCTGTTGGGCCCGTGGACAGTCCGTGGAAGGGGACGGGTGGGCCAGGGACGTGGCCTGTGGACGGGCCAACCCGTGGGCCCGTGAGGGCGGGCCCGTGGGCCCGTGACCTGGATACGACCCTTTCGATTGTGTATGTATGTATGTATGTGTGTGTATGTTTGTATGTATGTAGGTAGGCTTGTATGTATGTTGTGTTTTGTTATGTAATGCAATGTAACATGTAACTTATTTATTGTATTGGTAGTGTAATACGATGTTATGTTATGTTTTGTTCTGTATGTATGCATGTATGTTTGTTTGTTATGTATGTTTTGTTTGTTACTTATGTTATGTATGTGTTGTATGCTAGGCTATGTTTTGTACGTTATGTAAGTATGTGTTGTATGTTGTGTTATGTAAGTATGTGCTGTATGTGTTGTATGTTGTGTTATGTTTTGTTTTGTTTTGTGTGAATGTATGTATGTTTGTTTGTTTTTTCTAATGTAACGTATGTATGTATGTATGTATGTATGTATGATTTTTTGTTTGTACGTTTGTATTAACGTAATGTAAGTAATGTAACGCAGTGCAATGCAATGCAATGTATGTATGTAGGTTGTATGTATGTATGTATGTATCAATGTAATGTACTGTATTGCAATGTAATGTAATGTTTGCGTGTATGTATGTCTGTGTGTATGTTTGTATGTATGTATGTATGTATGTGTAAATATGGTTATGTACCTTGATTGCAGACCAAGGTGTGTGTGTGTGTAAATTTGGCGTCGTCATCGAGTTCAATAGCTTTGAAGTGTTCCGGTTTTGGGAATTCTGTGATGCAGCGATGCTTATTTTTGCTGTGATGTTCGCAAGAATTGAAAGGACTCGCAGAAGAACAAGAAATTTGTAGGGAAATGGGATGGTGCATTTATGAAATCCTGTTTGCGTCCTCAACTCCTGCAAAAATCCTGCTCCCCCAGAAGTCAACTCCCTGCGGAACGAGGCCTGGATCCTAGTGGGGTCTGGTGTGATCTCCCTACCTCCCCTCACCCCAAAGAACTTTTTCTTGAGATCCCTCATGCATAACTGAGCAGCGTCGCCAAGCAACACTTAAATGTCCTTAAGTTTTTTGAAGCACGCTTAATTCATCCCAACATTACTTAATACCCTTAACGTATTCCAATTTTGTTTTGGAAAGGACATGACGATCTAAAAATAGATTTTAGATAGATTTTCTTCTACACTTTTTGGTTTGGCCGGGGGCCGGGGTTTCCTTTGTAGAACCGCTTTCACCTGTGGAGACGCGGAGTTAAGCGGAGTTCTTCGAGTTTACCCGTTCTCCCGCCGGTGCGTCTGGAACCCAACTATGTTTCTTGTAGTTGGACCGCCATATATTTAGAGCGTATGACTATATAATTCTATTTGCTATATATATATGTTGAAATTCTGAAGTCCAGGTCCTTATGTGGTGGAGCCACCACAAGGATTCAATAAACATTACCTTTTAATTTAGAAAAACTGATGGCAGGAATAGGATGGGGGTGCTGAATCCTCATGAACTCTGTGGTCCAGTCCAGGTGCTTTTGCCACCTAAATTCTTATTTACAGTGGAGTTTCACCTACAGGAAAATGGATTGTAGACGGGCGTGTTCAAGTCTGCTCCGCTCAGCTGATCTGATCTTGGAGGATTCCTGAGCATTTTGCTTCAGATTGTCTGGCTGTTTCGATTCCGTGCTGCTTTGTGGGCAGAGTCCCTCTTCTGCGGCTGGTGTGCTGCTTCTGTTGCCACAGCGCCCCCTCCTTCCGGAAGCACCATCATCCAGTTTCTTGCTTATGATGATTGATGGTCAAACATCTCAGGAGATAAGAGGTCCGCAGGCACCAACCTGACTTCGTCGACGAAGAGCCATCGACAATAGGCCAACTGCTGTGCTGCTTCAGGTTTCATGGCGCGCCCGAAGCTGTTCTTGCTGATGTTGAAACCAAAAGTGTGCTGGATCGTTTCTCCGCCTAAGTCTGCAGCGTTGGTCGCCTGGATCACGCCAGCCAGGGTGAAGAGCTCCTGGACAAACTTCAAGACATGCGACTTGCCCGTTCCTGGCGGCCAATGGAGGAGGTATCGCAAAGGTGCCGGAGTGATGCGCTACCACCAGCTTCTGGCCCCCTCAACAGCAATCCTCAATTATAGCACTGGATACCATCTGGCGCATCTGAACTGAAAGCTAGTATTATACACATACACACAGGCGCACACACATATACATGTATATATATATATATGTATATGGTACCCCCCCCAAAACCCACCCAAACTCATGTTTCGTTGATATTTACAATAAAACTGCGCATTTTGGGCACCATGCCTTTTAGAAAAAATAAATGTATTGTGAATATACATTCAATCCTGACAGTTTTGGAAATTTTTCCATGTTCATTTGTTTTCTTTTCACAGACTGCCAAAACCAAAAAACAAAAACAACTTGTTGTTTGTTGTTTTGGGCATTGGTGATTGTATGGTTGCTTTTTTGTTTTGGTTTTGTTTTGCAGTTGGCTCTAAGTTCGACTTACTACTATCGCCGCAGCCTTTTTCGAAGCTCATGGTTTTCTTCTGCGTGCGATGGTCCGCAAGCAATTCAATATTTAGAATATTAAAAATACTAAATTCAAGAGGGCTGCCAATTCAAGAGACCAATTTATTAACATTCCAAGACATTCAAAACATTTAAAACAGTAAGCCTAATTTTTGTTAAATGTTGTAAATGTTTAGCCTATTTACAAAAATTGAATGTTGTAAATGTTTAGCCTACCTAAAAATTTCCCATATATTATAAAATTGAAGTGAATTCAATAGTTTAAATTTTCAAATCATTCTTTAATAGGCGAAATAATATAATATCTAACACATTAAACATCAAATTTCATAAAATGGTTTAACTATATTGAATAGATTTGTTAGAATATTTTAAATATTGAATTCAAGAGGGCTGCCAATTCCAGGAATCAGTTTAGTATCAAGCATTTAAACCTTAAAAATTGATTGCAGTTTTAATTCGATATTTTACATATTTAAATGTCTTAAATATTGAATTGATTTCTGGAATTGGCAACCCCTTTGTGAGCTCAATAGTTTAAATATGTGTTTTTTAAATAGGCGAAACATTTAACATATCAAGAACATTAAACTCATTTTGAATTAGAGTATTAAACTAAATGCTTTAAATGTTTGAAATATAGATTGATTCCTGGAATTGGCAATCCCTTTGAACTCAGTAGTGTAAATATTCTCATTAGTTTTTAATGGGCGAAAAATGTCAAAAATCTAACACACTTAAGTCTAAATTGTCTAATTCTTTTTTGAATACTTTAGATATTTTTGAACAGGATGATTTTTTAAAATATTCCAAATATTGAGTTCAAGAGGGTTGCCAATTCTAGGAATCAATTTAGTACAGAAACATTTAAAATTTCCAAAACTAATAGCAATTTTAACTCAATATTTTAGATTTTTAATTGTTTTTAATTGTCTTAAATATTGAATTGATTCTGGAATTTGCAGCTCCTTTGTGAGCTCAATAGTTTAAATATATTTCTTATTACGCGATTTATTTACAATATTGAATTCAATTTGAATGAAATACCTTAAACATTTTGAACATTTTATACTGGGTGGAATATTTTGAATTTTAAATTCAAGAGGGTTGCCAATTCCAGGAACCAATTGAGTTTTTGAAACACTTCAAAATTTTAAAACATTAAACTCAGTTTTACTTCAATATTTTAAGTGTTTTAAGCTTTCTGCTTTTTAAAAAGTATGTAGAATATTTTAATGATTCAATGTAACTTGAGTGTAATAGTTTTGATATTTCAAATAGTTCGCCCATTAAACGTTAGTTAAAATAAATGTTGAATGAAAAATCTAATTGAATTTTTTAAATGTTAGAAAAATTCAACTAATTACTTGAATTGGCAACCCCTTTGAATTCAATATGTTTAACATTTTAGATATTATTAATAGGCGAAATTCAAAATAGAAAATATTTTGTTTTCATATTTTGTAAAATATTTGTAATATTAAAAAATGGAATTCAAGAGGGTTGCCAATTTCAGGGATCAATTTAATACTAATTGTAAAAAGAAAATGCAACATTAAGTTAAATTTTATTCAAAAAAAAGTTTTTTATTTTCCAATATTCAGCACAAGGATTCTGCAAATACTTCAATTATTGAATTGATTTAGTTGAATGGTTCAAATACTTTAAACTTTTTCGCCGATAAAGTATTTTTAGTGCTGTTGTATCTGCACGCAGTAATATCAATGTTTGAATGGGTGCATCCAAGGCTAAGGTGGGCTTTGGGGGGTTAGTATATATATATATATATTCAAGTAGCGTTGCGTCGTGTATAGGCATGTGTTGAAGTTTTGTTCACTCAGGGCCACCGTCACATTGTACCAGGTCAAGGGCCCACTGGCCGCTGCGTGACAGAGAGTGGGGATGGGATGTCACCAATCTTCACCGTGCAGTTTGACTTACGGGATCCATGGTGATCGAGGAAAGCCTCAAGATTGAAACCGGTCTATTTGGGGTTCCCTTTGCATGGTGCATGGTGGATGCTCTGCGTGCTCGAGCAACAGTGGCATTTTTGCAAACCGACCACTCTTGACAAGTCGCGCAACTCGACAGTCAGAAATTGTACCTCTTCCACTCCTTGGTGACCAACTCCCTCAAATGGCGCCTCAGTGTGGTGTCCATTAAGCAGGCCACTCTGCGAGGGTGCATTGCGTGACACTGCCAACGTGGCAGGTCGCGCCGCCCGTATGGTCTGGAGGTGGCTTGGTCATGTCCTTCGGAGGCCTGCTTCATCTATGACTCGATCTGTCCTGCTTGCCCTTCGCCATGCTGCTGGTCAGCGCCGGCATCGTACAGGGCCTGACAACAGTTGTCATCGGAGTGTTCTTCGATACCTTGCACGCAAACACATTGACGTGGAAAGTGCCCGTGATCGTTCCCAGTGGCAAGCATGGGAGCACGACTGACTCCAGCATCTCCACGTGTTTGTGCGCCACTCACTCAGACAACAACGTCTTTGCACTGTCGTCTGGTGAACACTTATGGGACAAACGATGCTTACAGGGCCTGTACCATGGACAGCAGCTCTTTGTGGTTGAGGTCTCTGACCCAACCTACTTTCATTGTCTTGAGCTTGATCGACAAGAAGGGTGGAGACACTGTCGGTTTCTAGGGGGTTCTTTCATGTTGTTTCTGCATGGCATTGAGCATACCACTTGGGTGTGGCCTTCTACCTTTCATCTCCGAGTTCTACTGTTTCAAGCTGATTCTGGTACCAATGCCGCCCAAGCTCTTCTTTCTGACCTCCCGTTGGCTTTTCCTCCCTTTTGCTGTAGGCTGTAGACGGATTGTTGTGGAAGCATCTTCGTTACCCATTCCCTGGTCTGGGGGGATGTAGCAGCTTGTGTCGACACTTGCTCGCTGACACTCACATCGAGGGCTTTGGGCCTTTGCTCGCTGTAGACACAGGCATCTCCTGGAGAGGGCGATGGAGAGAGAGCAGGGCGGGCCGGGGCCACCCACCACAAACACCAGCGCATGGACACCCAACAACAGCCAAGCACATACTTTTGCTTTGCAAATCGATGCCAGTGGCTGCCAGTGTCTTGGCCTGAACGAATCACAAATCAGGATGAAGATCCCTTGTAAGGCACTCCTCTGATCTTCGAACCTTGGCCACGCAAGTCCATGTGGAAATCCAATGTCGCACCAGAATCCATGAAGGCCCGACGGCGGAGGTCATTGAGACCAAACTTCACTTGACGTGGAGCTCCAACAGCTCCAACAGGAAAAGCCTCACCAGCCTGATGCCAAGCCAGTAGGCAAGAAAACCCCGCAGAGAGCAAGTCTTCTCAATGACCAGGCAACCCGTGACAAGCATCACTTTGCTGAGGCCTCTGGCTACCTCAAGTGCAATGTGGCACAGCGCTCCTCAAGAGATCCACAGAGGAGAGGTTCCGCGACTTTGTCCACAATGAATGCGCTGACAGAGCCTACACCCAAAAAGCCAAGCGACCGTGCAATCAAGGCAGCCCCAACATCACTCCCGCAGACGGTCAGTTAGCTATGGAACCTCGGGCTCGCCACTTCGAAAACGAGGAGGACGAAGACACCTACATGTCACGCGAATGTGGATTTCTTTTGAACTGGGGCCAGCCGCGCTAGATTGCCCACAACGGCCCAGAGGTGAAACGCCTCAACTCGTGCAGCCCCTCTAGGGAAAAAAATCCATACATCCATCCGTCCGTCCTTCCGTCCTTCCGTCCGTCCATCCGTCCGTCCATACATGCATACACGCACGCATGCGTACATGCGCGCGTGCATACATGCATACATACGTGCATAAGTCAAGTTGCTTTATTGCCATCACTGCAGAAAAGTTCCCGGTTATCCGAGACAACGGGGGACTGGCAAGTCTCCGCGCTTTTTGTTGGGACATGGTGACATGGCCGCGCAAAGTTGGAGAATATACCATAGGTGACGGTGAAAGCTACTGAACATGGAACAGCCTCCATCAGTGCGAGTGGGTGCGCGATTAGGGCACTTACTTCGCGAAGGGGCTTGCTCCTTCTACAGCTGCTTATGGGAGCGTTTAAGGCGCTTGATCGGGCGAGAGCTTGGCTTTTCCCAGCGTGCTTTGAGCAGAAGCGGAGGAGAGTACAACCGTATACCAAACTGGCAACTTTCATGCGCGGCGACCAGAGCTTCGCCGCAGCTGCAGGAACAACCAGCAGGAAGCGCGCCCACCAAAGAAGGGCCTAAAGTAAAACACCCGCCCTTTCACAGCGCACAACACATGGAGCAACGCACACACACTTGAGATAATGCGTACTGAGTTGGATGCCATATGCCACACGGCAACCTATAGGTGAAAAAAGGGGCCTGAACAAAACGGGCAAAGTAGGTTGTAGGCCATCGCTAGCAGGTTGGAGGCCATCGCCGCAAATTCTGGAGGCCATCGCTAGTGTGTGGAACCCTTGGAGTCACAGGTCGCCTTATGGACTTATGGTCTGTAAGGCGGCAGGGGGACCAGGCATTTTGCTGCTGACCTAGTCTAACAAAGCTAGGCAGCAAAATGGGATGGTGGAGTTGGCCACTCCACTGAGTACCTGCCACCCACTTGTGTTTTGCGTTTGTGTCTTGTAAACTGGAAGTGCTGGCCTTCAACCTGGTGCGATGGCCTTTAACGTACTAGCGATGACCTCCAACCTGGTCGCTTGATGCAGTTTTGAGTTTGCGCTTTGAGTTTGTGTCTTGTAACTAGTAGCGCTGGCCTGCACCTGGTGCGATGGCCCCCAACGTACGAGCGATGACCTCCAACCTTGTTGCTTGAAGCAGCTTTCAGTTCGTGCCTTGTGTGAATTGCAAGTTCGTGGAGATAGGGGCTACGCTCAGTGCCAGCAAACTGAAATGTGGAGTGGTAAGCCTGATGAAAATCTGAGCCTTAGGGTTAATTTGCTAAGCGGTGAGCCTCGAGCCCGGAACCTGGCAAGGATATCTTGGGATTGCCGATGGAAGCTTGGAGGGCTTTAACTATTTTGGTGTGCAGGCTTCCCGTTTGCCTCGCGCTTCTTGCCTAGAAAGCAGCGCAGGGTGCGCTCTGCGGTTCTGCAGGCAATTTTGGTGGAATCGGTTGTGGAGTATGAATACAATGTTGTGTCAGCGCATTGCAAGAAAGATATTGCAAGGCTCAGGATGTTGTAGGACAAGTGAGACATATGTCTGAAAGGTTGTTGTTTTTGACGACTCTGACCACTGGGTGGAAGATGAGCAGTATCTGACTGTGGAGAGGCGGGTGTTTTTTGGTTCTTGTTCGCTGTTTGATCAAGCATATAGGCATTTGTATAATCCAGTGGTTGAACCATGTCGAACCGATTGCCGTTATAATCTTTGTGTGACGATGAGGACTGCCAAATGGGTTTGGTCATTGGTCACGCCTTTCCGCCTTGGGCGTTTGATGGTGCTCAAGGTCCTGAGCGCTGACAAGACTTACGACTTACTGTAGTTATATAATTGTTGTGTTGACACTCAATTCACACATACTTTTTTTGGGGGTCCCAGTCCGTAAAGCCATCACCAGATGCCATACAGGTGCGATAATGCACGTCAACAACATCAAAGTAGATCAACATGTCGACAAGTTCGTATTTGTTAACTCAAGATGGTAACCAAACCAGGTGTGCTGTTTTGCCGACTGACTCAACCCGCTTTCCGGCATTGTACGAGAGGCTTGCAGAGCATCTACCTAGGGTGACCGGGATGTGGAGAATGAGCAACACAGCACGAGGCAACGGTGTGGCAAGGCAGATGCTGAAACTATTAAATGAACAATAATTTTCGAGTGTGTATATATGTATATGACACAAGGGGAAATTTATGCAAATTGGGAGCTCAGAATGTTAATGCGTGTATCTCACCGGACCAACCCCTGTCGTAAGGGCGGTCCTGAGCACTTGACATTTGAGCTAAAAACCTTCTGAACTTATGCCGCTGCTTTGAGGCCACGTGCTTTGGATAGCCAAGCATTTTGTTGGCTTCTACTTGGATTTGGATGCTTGGTCTGCCTGGTTTGTTCTTGATGTCACGTCTTCCATCCCTGTGATTGGCAATTCCTTTGCCTCATAATGTGGATTTTGTCTTGTTCCCCCGCTTTGAGGACCGCAAGGCTGATGCATCATTTGGAAGTGTTGGGCGTTGCTTCGTGGTATGCCTTTTGGCAGTCTTTCTATGGGCGCAGGCGAGCAGCGTGAGCACAGGTTTGCAACAAGTGCATTGTTGCAATGCGTCTGTGTTGCCCTGTTTCATACTCACCAAGGCAAGGGGCATCCTTTGGCTTGTCAAAGCAGCTATCAATAGCTTCTCTGATGTGTTTGTTGCTTGGCTGAGCTGGCAGCTGCTAGCGGACTTAAGGGTTTGGGGTTCACTCAAACCGATGCCATCGAGTGTGCCCCCCATAGCTTCTAGCTCTGTAGCATGCCTTGAAACAATAGTTTACAGAGGCTGAGATTGGCCCTTACTCATTCTTCCTTTTTGCTGTTTGATTGCCCGGTGCAAAGCCTCACACTGTTCTTCTTTTGAAGGAGAAGGAAGACGTGACGAAAGAGCAAGGGGGTGCAAAAGCGACGAAGAAAGACAAGTAGTGTTTCAACGAGCTAGCATCTCCTTGACTGATGCACACAGCTCGTTAGCGATTCAGACATGGAAGGTTTCACCCCAAAGTGATGCGGCAATGCAGTGACAAAGAGCTTGTTGGAGAGGGCATTCTCGATGCCAATTCGCGTTCAGCATTCTCAGGTTGCAGAGTCTTTTGGGCATTTCGATATTTTTACTTCTTAATTCCATGAAGAGCGATGCAGAGATGCGTGATTCTACAATCCACAGGGATGGCTCCAGGACGTCCAGAAGAAAGTGAGCGCAGTCAGCCAGTCAAGCTTGGAGTTGTTGGGTAAGGGGGTTTTGTATAGCACACTATATTATGTGCATTCGTTTGGGACTTTTAGGGCCTGTTATCATCGGAGGTGGCTCGGAGCTAAGAACTCCCAAAATTATTCTTGACTTTCTACAACTTTCCTTCTTTTTGGTTTGAATTCTGATTCAATTGTATCCAGTATGTTTGTCTAATGGGCAGGAGCTTCCTCAATCACACTGAAGATATGAGGTGGCCGCAGACCGGGCAGTTCAGGAAGCTTGCCCTCGGCGCCGAGTGCTGCCAGGCAAGCTGGGGAATACAGCACGACGAATAGTAGTGAGTGAAAGTGGTTTGGCCAGTTTGGCCTGGACTCTTGAAGCAGTACAGGCTACGAGTGGATGATCTTAGTCCAACTACACCCCAGCAGGCGGAGATGCAGGAGAGCACCCCTCAGCGGGATGGAACCGACCACGGAAGTCTTACCGTGTAGACACTCGCACACGGAATCTAGAACACTTCCCTACTCTGGCTGCATGTGTGCTGAAACATGCGAACACGTTCAAAGCTGAGCCAGACTTCCCAAAACACCGCGTATCCATCAATCGGAGCCATTTGTTCATTTATTCCTTTGGGGGTTGAGGATGTCCCGTGTGTCAACTGCGCGTGTGTGGATGTCTTGGAAGTGCCAACAACCTTTCTCATGGGGAGCATACACGTATGGTGTCATGAAACGCCACGGGTGCTGTAGTCAAAGTGTAGTGAAACCTGTACAACCTACAGTAACAGGATCTAACAGGAATCTAACGTACTTGTAATGTTTGTCGACTGTACCTCAGGTGTGTTTTGTTCCTCCGGTGTATGACTAATCCTTCTGAAAAGACTGTTATCATAGAAACTTTGACACTTGGTTCATTGGTCATTGGTGCCTAGTTTGGGAAACTGTTTGGGAGTTGGTTTGACTTGTGTTTATCACCTTTTTTCTTGATGAGGACATTGCGTGACTGAGTGTATCCAGGCCCTAGGCATCGAGCGCAGAGCAACACGTCTACTTGGAAGTACCTGTGAGCTGGGCCCAGCGCCTGTTTTCAGCATAAACTGTGTCGATCCGAAGCAGGGGCGACAGATAGCAGTCCTGGAGGGAACTCGAAATCAGATCCGTGAAAATAGCGGGGATGTTTAGGTTTTGAAGGGCTCCGCTGGGCGGGGGTTGGCGGATGCTTTTCTATGACAGTTGAGAATATTTTTGAATATAGTTGACGTGCGAGGATTTCTAGCTGCACCGCAAAGAAGACAGTAAATTTTTATATATGTAGATGGTGCGAAGACATGTTTCTCGTAAAGCACCTAGCGTTGCAATGCAGGAGGATGACCTGACCACACGGACGCTGAATCAAGTTCTCGACCCTTTCCTGGATGGGGTGAGCCTGCTTGGCAATTTCAAACATCGATCAACCACACTCTCCGAATCTTGCCAGGAAAGAACTTGCTCAACGAGGGAACAACAAGTCCTCTTGCTACAACGTTTTCTGAAGGCTGGAGCCTAGGACCGCAGGTAAAGATTTGGCAAAGTTGTGAGAATGGATCTCTGGCAAAATTTGTAGTGTGGCAGGCTGTCCCGGATCCCTTGAAGAGATGGAACGGGTGCTGGGCTTGGTGACTGACAGGGGCTAGCAGCAATCAGCTTGCTGCAAGCTTTAGTTCTATGCTCTTCCGACATTTTTCGAGGCCTACTGGTCCTTTGATAGCTGTTTCACGGGCAGGACGTGCAGACTTGGCGGAGTCCCAAGGAATGCCCCAATGCCTAGGTGAAAGAGTTCCAGAGTTGCTGGATAAAACGAGTGCAAAGGAGTCCAACCATGGAAAGTAGTCTTGAAGGTCTCAAAAGCACCAAAGCGGTAAAGTTGGAAGTTTCACGGAAAAGCAAAAGCAGCGTGGTTGCCAAGCTCACCAGCACTTTACGTGTTCTTATGAAAGCAGGTACTGTACCGAGCAGGATATAGTCCGGTCACAGCGCAGGTACGCTGGGATGATCAGTCCCAGGAAATCGAGAGTGCCTTCGTTGGTGACAGACTCTCGTTCCTGCTGCCACCCCCTGTTACTACTAGTAAGATTAGTAAGGCACTTATTACTAGAAGCGATGCACTTGTTCCTACTAGCTTCTTGTTACTACTAGTAAGGCACCTGCCAAGAAAATTGAATATATACTAGCCGAAAGGCACCCTTTGACTCCAAGCCTTACACTCTTGAGAAAGAGCTCGCATGAGCATGTTTCAAGGTAATCCCAAAGATGCATTACCCTTTTTACGTTCTAGGCAGCATTGTTTTTGGATTTTTCAAGATTTCTATCTTTGGTATGCGTGTTGGTTACAGTGTTTTAAAGAGATTTTGTTGTATTTATATATTGAATTTGCTTGTGTTTACAGCACCTGGTGTTGATTTTTCACTTGTGCTTTGTGGCATTTTTGACATTTGACTGGGCACCTGGTGTTCAACTTTCACTAGTATTTCAGGCACATATATATTATATATATTTACACCACTTTGGGCACCGGGTGTTCAGATCTCCAGCGTGTTGGCTGTCTTGGTTTATCCTCTTGTTGTTCTTGGCATTCCACATTCCACGCCAATTGAAAAAGCTATTGCTTTACAATGTCGTTCTGCAGGTGCTTGCTTCAGCTTTCATGGTTCTCGATATTTCTCTTTCAAGAGCAAGCTATCGTGAGTCCATGTTGTTTGATTTCCATTTTTTGCCTTTGCCTGTCAAACGCTGTGCAGCGGAGCTTGCAAACAACATAAACATCATGTGCCCATAGTGCTTTCCGTAGTTTCTACTTCAGTGTTCAGGTTCTGTTGATGTTTCTAAGCCTGTGGGATTGCCCACCGCTAAACCTTGCTGCTTGCAGTGGGTGGAAGGTGGGTTGATGTTGATCCGCAAAGACATTGTATTGTGGTGCTGGGCTGGGGATGTGAAGACAGCGGTGAAGGCTGTGGGTAGTGTGCATGTGAGACGGGTAAAGGTTGTGGTGTCTGAGGGAACGCCGATGCTGTTGGAAACTGTTGATGCGAGGCGGGCCAAGGGAATGACGTGGCTGCGATGGTAATCACACTGTATCAGCGCGAGAAGACAAAAGTGCGGAATGTCACTGACAGATAGAAACTACTCGTAGGTTGAAATCGCATCATGCATGAGTAAGCAGTACGGGTGAAACGTATTCCGATGTTTTGAGTTGAACAATAGCGGTCATGAAATGCTTGTGTCCAGAGACGGCCTTCAGAAAAATGCCCTCCTGCGAAGGAGGAAACTTTGTCAGACAGCGCCCGAATGGGGATTGCGCAGCATACCACAGTGGGAAGATGCTGCGATGCATACTTGAGAGAGAGCTCGTATGAGCAAGTCACGAAAGCTAGCCTCAGCTAGCTGGAGTTGCTCTTGCGATAGCAATTTAAATGACGGGGTGGACGTCGCCCAATTGATTAAATCAATCTTATGGACCCCCCCATTCAACTCCTCCTGCGGACGGGTGAGTGGGTGAGTGTGACAGGGTCTGATGCGCTCTTGGAGATGACCATGAGCTTCGCATCTCATCAAGCTGCCTCATGAATACTTTCCCATACTAATGCCACTCTGCTTGCTGCTTGCTGTTTGTATCGCTCTTACAGCAACCACAGTTTACAGTACACGAAACACCGTTTACGCCAAAACGCCAAAACACGGTTTGCACCAACCACTGTAGTCTACACCACGGTCTGCACCAACCACGGCTTACACCAGAGCACGGTTTACACCAACCATGGCTTGCACCAACCACCACCGTTCACACGAAGCCACGGCTGTCACCAACCACCGTTTACACCAAGCAAAGACTTACACCAAGCCTGTTTTCCCATAATATGCCAGGCATCATCCGCTGTTGCTGCTTGCTGGTTGCCAACCACCGTTTACACCAACCACGGTCTACATCAACCACGGCTGATACCAAATCACGCTTTACATCAACCACCTGTTAAACACGAAGCCACGGCTGTCACCCACCGGCGTTTACACCCAACCGCGGTTTACACCAAAACTGTTTGCTGCTGCTGCTGCTGCTGGGTGGTCTGCTGCCGCTGCTGCTGGTGGTGGTTTGCTGCTGCTGCTGCCTAGTGGTCTGCTGCTGCTGCTTGGTGTTCTG